ATTCATAAAGTAAAATTAAATATATATTTGTAATATTTTATAGAATTAATCTTTAATTAATTTTTTAATAAATTTTTAAATAATATTTAGAAAAATTTAATATCTTTTATAAAATTAATATTATAGTTTTAATTTAGATATAAATAAAATAGATATTTAATTATTAAATAAATAAAATATATTAAGAAAATATTAAAATAAATTTTAAAAAATAAATTTAAAAATTTGAAAAAAATTTTATATATATAATTATTTTTTTAATATAATTACTTTTTTTTTAATATGATTGCTAAGTAGTTTCTATATTTACAGAGTAATTATTTATAAAGTAATTGTAGAATTGATTGCTATACTATTACTAGACAGTTGTAATTACTCTTTTCAATCAATAGTTTTACACTATTAAGAAGTTTAAATAGAGTTTATTTATACTATTATTTTATCCTTTTCTTTGAAGTCTATATATACTCTTATACTAATAGATTATCATTTATTTCATTTACTATGTAGTTATTCTTTTCTCAAGTTATCAATCATTCATTTAATTATTTTGAGAATTTTATTTTCATTGAATTCACTGTGTAAAATTCTCTAATCTGATATAGTATTTCTTTAAGATTTTATTCTTAATATTATATTAAATTATCATCAAATTCTAGTTATTTTATTTAGTATTGAAGCTTCTTATGAGAGATATAATTTACTAGAATATTCTCAATCTTTTATTTATTTTTATTCTATATTTTAATCAGTTTTGATATTTTATTTAGTTATTCTAATAAAAGATTATTCATAGCTTTTTATAACTTATCAGAAAAAAATATTAAATGAATCTTTATATTAATTAATAGACTTAGTTTATAGCTATTTCTCATATTTTTAATAATTTCAAAGAGGTTTTCATTTTGCTTTGTGATCTTTCTGCTAAAATGTTAAATTTTATAATTTTTGAGTAATAGAAAGTCTTTATTTTCTATCTCAAAATTTGAGTTATGATAATATTTATTGACTTATGAAATTATATTTTTTTATATTTTTTTATATTGTCAGCTTTCAGCTTTCAGATTTTCTTTACTTGAATAATATATTATTATATATCTTTTTGTTTGAGCTTCTTTTATTTATATAGCATCTTTGATAGTGATTTTTATTTAAAGTTTATATTCATTATCTGTTAAAAAGAATGATATTTTAGTTAATTTATTTATCAAAGTTTCTGTCATATGATCTATCATCAGCAATTATTTATCTCAATTGTTCTGATAGTAGTTCATATACAAATAAAGTTTAATTATTAGATATTGATTGGCAATCTCAGTTTGATCATCTGTTTACATGTGATGAGTTGATAAAAGCTTTAGCTTAACTTTAAATTATCTGATGAACTTATTTCAGAAGTTTGAAATAAACTGCAGTTTTTAATTTAATATAATTGAATCTGATACTTTATAGTATTTATAGTAATATTTTAAAAATAATTTCATTAGTCTTTATAATATTGATTTTTCTTATGATAGAAATAAATATGAGTATTTTACTCAGTCTACAGACAATTATTAATATAGTATTATGATTTCTTTTTATCATAAAATTATTTATAAACTTTATTAAAATATACTATCAGACTTTGTTAAAGATTAATAGCAGCTTTAGCAGCTATAAAATCTTATCATGAGAGATTTTTTTTATCAGCACATCAGACAATTATTCATATATTGATTAATATTCTTAGTTTATTTACTTCAGTAGTATATTACTTTCATTAAAGAGTATAGCTTTTCTTTTCTTTTATATACTATTGACAACTACTCATAAATCATCTTCATAATATATACTTAGAGAGTAGAATTTTTCTTAATTAATATTATTAAATGTTTTTTAAAATATAAAAGTTCTTTTGTCAGCTCTCAGAGCTAGCTATTCTTCTTATTATATCTTTTTGATTCTCATCTTGACTTTATTAAAAATTTATATATCTGTATTTAAAGCCTTGATCTCAATAACTTTCTTGATGATTTATAAGTTTAATCTCTTTAACTTAAGAAATAGTTATATTCAAAAGCTTTTATTTATTAATTTTTTTTTTAAGTCTTCAGTTTGTTTAAAATATCTACTAGTATATTTTGATACTTACATTAATACTAAATTAGAAAGTAAAATTATGAGAGAAATTTAACTAAATATGCTTATCAAGTATTAATATTCTTAGTGATTATAAAGTACTTTAGTGCTTGATGATCTGTTAGAATTTTAAACTTACTTGTATAGCTAACTATATCTTCAAAAGCAAGTATTTTATCATAGATTTAGCTTTGAATTATTCAGGACAAAAACATAAAAAATCAAGATCATGGGCTGCTTGTTCACGTGGGCAAGTTAAGGTCAATTTCTTGCTCCACACATCTGATGCATTGTTATTGCACTTATCCAAGGAATACTCTGTCTTCTCTGCAGTCTTTTTATACAGGATATAGGCCTGAAGACGAAGCTGTATTCTAGTTGCTGCCTGTATTTTAACTACTCCGCACGTGATATGGGGGATCATATAATCAACCGTACTCAAGGCTCATGTAAGTATCAACAAATATACCTCTGATCTCAGAGTCTGCAGTCTATTACATTTGAATTTAAGCAGAGGGCCACTCAGGGTCACATTCATCCCTTTGTTTGTTTGCTTCATTCATGACCAGAAAGACTGTTGCCCCTATACCTTGGGAGAGAAAAGGAGGGTTGCGCATATCTTGTTCTGCAGGGAACTCGAGCAAGATCTGCCAGAACCCTGTCAAGCAAACGGGAACCTTGAGAAGATCTGCAGATCACACGTTTGGTGTTCAGGAACTCCATACAAAGTGAACCCGAAAAAAAAAATTGGAATTAAAAAAAAATTAAATAATTAAATAAAAATATTAAAAAAAAAAAAATTGAATAAACCCCCCAGAAAAAGCTCAAAAGAAACAACCGAGGCCATGGCGCAACAACAAACCACCCCGTCACCAACAATCCCCTCCCCACTCCCCTTCCCAAAACCAACCACAATCCCCCCCCGCGGCCCGCACACACACACTCTAATCCTCCTCCACGGCCGTGGCGACTCCTCCCTCGACTTCAGCACTGAATTCATCACCCTTCCCCTCCCCATTTCCCCCTCTACATCCAAACATCCCCTCTCAACCCTCCCCCAGCGCTTCCCGGGTGTCAAATTTGTCTTCCCCGGTGCGAAGATGGGCCTCTCCACCTTCTCTGGCAACATGATGATGCCACAGTGGTTTGACGTGGTGAGCCTGGACCCGCCGTATGAGAAACAGTACGAGCTGCAGCGGGAGGGCTTGCGGAGTTCGGTGAATTATTTGCTGAAGCTGGTGAAGGAGGAGGCTGCGATTGTAGGTGGGGTGGGTAAGGTAGTTGTGGGGGGGTTGAGTCAGGGAGCTGTGGTTGCATTGGCAGCTGCGATGAGCTTTGATACGGTTGAGGCTGGGGAGGCGTTGGGGGGGTGTGTGGCAATGAGTGGGTGTTGGCATTTCAGAAGGAGTTGATGGCGTTTGCTGGGAGGGAGAGGGCGGTGGGAGATGGTGATGGTGTTGTTGTTGATGACACCGGGAATCAAGATCTCGAGGAGGATGGAGAGAATGGGTGGCTTCGAAGCACTGATCCCAAGGTGGCGGTTAGCGCGGCTAATTGGTTCCGTGAGAATGTACTGGGTATCCCGCCAATTAATGTCGTTGACTGGCAGCAGATCACGCTTCCAAAGACACACCTGTGGATCGCACATGGAGCGTTGGACACGCATTTGAAACCGCAGTATGGGGAAGAGGGCGCGAAGACGCTGGAGAAGCTTGGGTGGAATGTCACATTCATGCTGTACGATGAACTCGAGCACTGGTATATGCCGGATGAATTGGAGGATATGGCGATTTACTTGGATGTTGTGGTTGGGGTGCCGGAGGCGGAATGATCTTGGGATGGGGTAAGAGAAGGGGTGGTGACGATGTGTGGAAGGGAGAGAGAATCTATTTTACGACTGAAAAACATTTAACAACATGGCATATGGTGACATTCCCAACCCCCAGGAAACTCAACCTTGATGGCGCAGTCCGATAAAGGCTCCTGAATGATTCTTGATAACATCAAGGGAAGGTTTGCTTTCTATATGCCTATTTATGCGCGTTTTGCTAGTGACACAGGACGAGGCGTTTTTATGTCAATAAAAGGGACAAAGCGATAATTTTGATGATTTACAGCGGTTGATTGTATGATAGATACTATTTGCACTTGATAACCAGAGCTAAGGCGCTCGTGTGTGTTTGGGTGGGTTCCCCCCCTTCTTTTTTTTTTTTTTTCAATATATATATATATATATATATATATTCTTAAGCTTGCTAGAGTCATTCCTCGACACTACACTGTGTGTAACTGGGGATTGATTGTAGCTCTATATGGAGGCTAGGACGCATGGAAAAATGGAATTGTGTCAGAAGAGCTTCTGTTCATAACCTAATAACTTTCCTTGTGGTGGCATATCCAACAGTAGCAAGGCATAGACACTGTGGCAGAATTGGGGTTACAAGTCTTTTGCAGTCATAATCAGTTAGTTATCTCACGCTACAATAGAAGAGAGCATATAAAATACAACATAATAACAAAAGCCACAATCACACATTTTCGAAAAGTAAGATGAAGAAGAGACCTATACATAATCCACTGCAAATTCACACCTGTTCATCGACAGTACTGTACATATACATATTACCACATCAAACCTACAAAAATGGCGACATCTGAAAAGGCAACATAATAACCCGGTCTATCTAAAATTAAAACATAAGGAGAAAAGAAGAGATTAGTAAATCAAAAACACTTCACGAAGAGCACAAGGAAAAGAAAAGAATTCAATGAAATCAGCATAAAGCGTCTGTATACAATCCATCTAACAGCTCTTAACTCCTCCCCAACTTCCACATCGCAATCTGCTCCTGCACCTGCTCGGAGGTAATCGGATACAACTCCGACCCTTCCACCATCCCCTCCTGCACGACGACGGTAGGCTTCCCTGTTCCCTGCCCCTTATTATGAACATGACCCCCAAATACCTGTTTAGCCACCCTCCGCAGATCCTCAGCAGTCAAAGCATCAATCCGCGCACACATCTCATGCACACCAACCTTCCGCCCATGCACCTGCACCTGTCTCCCCAGATCCTCCAGCTCCACCATGCGCGACTCAAGATTCATGAGCAGCGAGGAGCGGAGCTGGTTCTTGGCCCTGTTAACCTCCGCAGGTTGCAGGGCGGAGAAACGCGACTCGGTGGTCAGGGCATGCAGCTCTTTGCAGATAACTTCGACCATCGCGCTAATACGGGAGGGGATGCAGGAGGCGGAAATGCCGAACAGGCCGCTGTCCGTGTAGCTGAGGTTGAAGGCCATGCAGCTCTCTACCCAGCCGTGTTGGTTTAGCACGTTGGTGTAGAGGCGGGAGTACATGCCCTTGCCTGGGCCGCCGGCGGAGAAGGAGCCGCCGCCGCCTAGGAGGGTTTGGAGGGTGGCGAGGGCGTAGATGTCTGGTGAGGAGATGGGGAGGGCTTCGAAGGCAACGTGGATGTGGCTTAGGGCTGGATGGGCGGGATTGGCTGGTGGGGGGATTGGGGCGAGGGAGAGGTAGCCGCCTGTGTAATGGGAGGGTCTATGGAGGTTTGGGGTGAAAGGGTGCAATAGGGAGGTATCGAGGGGGGAGACGGAGGCGCTGTGGGGGGAAGAGGTTGATAGGTATTTAAGGAAGGGGATGTGGGATAGGACTCCGCCGGTTTTGTATGAGGCGGAAGACGATGGTGATGGAGGAGGTGGGGTGGATGGACTGGTGGAAGCTGTTGAAGTGGTGGAAGATGGGGAATGAGAAGGTAATGAGTTCAGTTCCTCTTTAGAAAGGGTGGTTTCGGACCCATGCCCGAAAAGCACAGGTTTATCCCGCTTCATATCCCCAAAGTACTGCTCTGTCAATTTCACCGCATCCTGATGCGCGACGCCCGCAAAGGCCACCACCATCCGCTCCGGCTTAAAGAACGTGTTCCGATACTTTTGTACAACGCCCCTATTGATCTCGCCCAACCTCTCTCTCGGACACAACAGAGGATTTCCCAATGTGTTATTCTTATACCCCGCAATATTCACCAACTCCGGCAGAATCATCTCCGGCTTCGCCCAGAGTTCCGTGATTTCATATTCCGCCACCATCAACTGCTGCTGTATCTCCTCATCTGTAATCAATGGATCCCGAATCGTCTCTGCCAGCAAGGCAAGAGTGGTTGGAACCGTCGAATTGAAGCTGGCAGATTGATACATGAGTGACTCCCGAGCCGATGCGCATTGTATATTCCCTCCCAGATTCTCCAGAGCCTCAACCATCTGATCCGCCGTCCTTTTCGACGTCGACTTAAATGCTAGTCTGTCAATGATGTGACTGACGCCACGGAGGCTGTCATCTTCGTAGCGGGAGCCTGCATCGATATAGACCCCTACACCGGCGAAGGGGCCCGGGAGAGACTCTGTAGCTACTCGAAGACCGTTTGGGAGGGAAGTTACTTGGTCGAGTTCCACGGGATCCTATATAGGAGTTTAAAAGGCCTTTCGTCAGCGATTTACATCTCCGTGCCATGCCGGAAATGCAGAGGGCGTTCGGGGATATACTGAGACGGAAGAAGGCAGCTTACGTACCTTGGATTGGGTTTCGATGCGGGAGGAAAATGCTCTGCAAAGCGACCGTGGAGTGCGCATAAAGGGTCTTGCCGGAGCAATGGCCCTAGTTGCTAAACGACGCATGATCCAAAGGCGTTGCTGGAATCAGGTCCAGAGATGTACAAAGGGTCTATTCCAGAAGTTGTCTGCGTCCAAGATGCCAAAAACGTTGGAACTTTAGTGGAGTTTTAGATGGTTTGACCGTTTTCGGGCAGAAACGTTGTGGCTTAGTCATCCATACAGCAAACCAACTGCCAAAAGGCGGCGGGCGGGATTATGGCTTTTCGGCTATTTTGGACCTTGATGAGATGTCAATTTTAAAACGAATCGCCAAATAGACACGAAACCTGCTCAGCCAATGAGAAGACGGCAAAGCAGCGCGTTGTTTTGTCGTGATGCGCGTCCTTTGAGTGAATTCCTACAAGGTATGAGCACTATTTGTATTCTGTATTTCCTATAAAGTGTTTATCTATACGTTTAACTGTTCTATGTTAACATCGCTGTCTCTCAACTATTAACTATCAAAGAAAGAAAAGAATGTCGACATGAAATTGGTATAAATGATTAACGCATCAGTGCTCCGCAGCCCATTTCCGATACCATTCCAGGCACTCCGCATTAGCCACGCTTGCACCCGTTTTAATATTCAACCCACAGAGTATCTGTTTAACAGCATTTTCAACCTTCTTCCCATTGGTTGTCACAGGGATTTCAGGGCATGCATCTACAATGACAGGTACATGTCGTGCGCTAAGCTCCTGACGGATAGTAGCTTGTATGCGGCTAGCGAGATCCGGGGGCATGAGCAGTTTCTCAGAGCCTGTATGACAACTACCATTGGCCGTCTCTGGGGTTGAAACCGCGGACGATGATGCGGAACCCGGAGCGGAGGGTGACGATGAGGCGGGCGGTCGTAACAACTTAACAAAGAGCACGACAGTTTCGTCGTTCTCGATCCCATTGCGTCTGCGGCCGATACACAACGAATCTTCAACCTCGGAGGCAAAATGCTTAAGGATAACATTGTATATCTCCGCGCTTCCAAATCTGACGCCAGCAGGCTTGAGAACGCCGTCACTTCGCCCTAGCATCTCCAACCCGCCCGTTTTGGGGTTAAGTTTCACGAAATCGCCGTGGTGCCATGTTGATGGCCCGAAGACGTCAAAGTAACTCTTTCGATACCTCTCTTCGCCGATGGGGCCTGGCGGCCAGAACATGACAGGCTGCACTGGGAAGGCCTTTGTGCACACTAGATCACCCGCGTCATTTGTGGAGCTGATATCCTTGCCAGTGTAGTCGTAGACAGAAACTGCCATGCCAAGACCGCGACATTGGATCTCCCCACGATGGACGGGGAGGATGGGGCAGGAAGCGCCGAAGAGGGAGATGATATCTGTGCCACCCGTGATGGAACCTAGCATTATATCGGGGTGGATATGAGAGTATACATAATCGAAGGTTGAAGGGGCCAGTGGTGATCCGGTGCTGAAAATAGCTTTCAGAGTTCGCAAAGATACGGGTCTGTGAGGGTGTTTGGAGGGGTTTAGCAGAGATTGCTCTAGGACTGAGAGGTACTTTGCAGAAGTCCCAAAGTGGGTTATCTGCAATTCGTCGATGAGGCGGGCCATGGCCATATCCCCTTTCCCATCTTCTGGGTCTAAGGGCCGGAAGGGGGAACCATCGTAAACCACTATGCTGGCGCCGCTTGCCAGCGCAGATAAAAGCCAGTGCCACATCATCCAGGTGGTTGTTGTGAAGTAGAACAGTCGATCATCAGGTCCAATATCACCATGGAGAACATGTTCTTTCTTGTGCTGCAAGAGTGTACCAAGGGCACCGTGGACGATTGGTTTAGGGGCACCGGTTGTACCCGATGAATAAAGGATGTAGACTGGGTGGTCTGGCGGGAGGGGCTCAAATTCCAATGGCAGAGTCGAATCTTGCGAGGAAGCCAGGAAGTCGGAGAAAGTTATGGCCCTGCCATTTGGTGATTTGATCGATTCTATATCGAAATCGTACCCCTTTATGGCTTCAAATACCACGATATAGCGCAATGAATCTAGGTTCGCTGTCAACTCCACGATTTTGGACTGTGTTGGATGGACTTTGCCGTTGTATTGGGACGCATTGTCAACGAAGAGCACGACCGGTTCAATCTGGCGCAGCCGTTCCAGCACAGCATGTACGCCTGTATCAGTTGAGACGGCACTCCACAAGGCTCCCATGG